TTCTGGAAGCCCTTCCCCAGCCTATATTGGATATAAATATTTCCTTTTTCTTTTAAGCAGTCTTTGTCATAATTAGCCTTAAAAGTATTGATTTCCAGACTTCCTGCACTACAGTCAGTCTTCAGTTTCTGTCAGAATTACACCGATTTGTAGCACCAAATTATCTAACTGAAATTTAGCTACAGTGATAATAAGGTAGCACAGTATTGCAGGCATCTTAGAGCCTGAAGTCCTGTTTGGAAATCATCGCTGTAAAAATGCGGTGGTGGGGAATTAAACTCTTCTAAAGCGTGGATGCTTTTATAATATGTATTTTGCAACTCTGCATAAAAAGGACCATTCTGAAAACAGATTATGGTTATTCTGAGAAATGAAAATCAGAACATCTATTTTATCCTTCTAGTCTCTAGGGAGAATCTGGTTGCAGGTCTCAACCTCTCAACCAGCCTCACTGACAGACTGCCCTGGAAAGCCCAAGGGTGTGGCCTGTCAGTGTGTGCAGGCATATGCACTTGCCTCTCTCATATCCAGGCATTATGCTTTTAAAGCTGAGTAAGAGTTTTAGTGTTAATGATTGATAAAGATGTGTGTAGATTTCCAGGGCTTTGTTTCTCTGAAACATCTGTACCTGAAGCGAGGTTACAGACACTGCCCGCTGGCAGCTGGGCACTGGTCGCTAAGACTCTGTAGTGGGACAGGAGCTCACTTGCTACAAAAAACCCCTCGTGTTTAATCTCCTGTGAATTATTTCAGTAGAGCTGCTTGGTAAATAGAAGTGGAATGACTTCCTTGTTCATTACCTCTTGAACCTGGACTCCTCTCTGAGTTGTGTAAAATGTGTTGTGTTATTATCAAATTTTCTCAGGATAATTACGATGGCAAATGCATGTTCTTGGAAGTAAGAGTGCATGATGTCTCTTAAACCTACAATCTCCTCCTAACCTCTTATAAGTCACCTCTGACTTGCCTTTGTTTCTATCTTTCATCCCTGGTTCTTTTCTCATCCCTTTCCAAGCTGACTGAATCTTCTGATGAGGTAACCAACTTTGTCCCTCGTTTCCCACTCATCTTCCCTAGCTGCATAGAGTTGAACCTTTTGATAGATAATAGTCCAGCAGCCTGATTTAGTTTGTACTGTTGTTCACATATTAAGCATAAAAATAATTTTTTGTTTCCAGAATGGTTTTTCCTCATTCACAGACTTAATTTTTAGAGCCTAACACGTAGTGAAGAGAGAGAAAGCTTTAACAAGAAACAACCAAAACCAAAACGAACCAAACAAAAAAAAACATTTATGCAAGTGAATAAGACTTTCTGATGCTGAAATATGTGGCCATGCCTTTGTATTCTTCTCTGTTATCGTCACTGTGTTTTGTTTATTGAGCAGCCTGATGTTTGGGGTGGGGTTAGGGAGAGATGGGCAGTACCCAAATGTCACAATCTGAGGTACCAGCGCTTGCTGGAACTACCGAGTGTTTTGGACAGAGAGACAGAAGTTTGGGGAAGAACTGGGGTCACTGTGTGAAGAAGTGTAGCACAGGGACCATCCTCCCTGTTGGTTTCCTAGAACTGCTCTTGTAGGAACAAGCAGCACTTATCCCTGGTGACATCTGCGGCACAGGCTGCAGAGCTGAGCGGTACCAAGTCCCCACCCCCGGGGAGTGTGTGGGAGAGGGCTGGGAGCAGAGGTGCTGTGGGGCAGCTCAGTGGGGCCACGAGGGTCACCCAGTGGGTTCTGCTGTGCCTCAGCGACACTGCCAGGCTTGAGCTGCCTCCACTTCCCTTAGGGCCCTAGCAGGGTATTGGGCTGTGTGTATCCATATGTGTGTCACTAGGGAATGGGTTTTGTCAGTCAAGACCCCAGTAGTGGCACTGGTTATTTTTAGAAGGAGGCTGGTTTGGCCTCGGGTATCTGCAGAGAGCTGAGGAGACAGCCCTGCTCGAGAAGGGCATTTCCTCTGGTCAGAACCCTCACTTCACAGCGTCAAAAAATCAGGAGCTTAGGCCGAGCTTCACCATCCACACATGAAGGTTCTTCCATGTGATTGTGCGCGGTTAATTTCTTGACATCCCATTGGTGTCCTGCTCTGTGTCCACATGAAGCCTTTTGATGTGCTCACCATTTCTGATCTTCCTCCCTTCCTCTTTCAAAATAGTCTTTTGAATCCTCCTGTTAAGGAGCAGCTCGCCCTGTAATGACACCTCTGCTCTTATTTAAGGTTTCTGCAGTGCCTCCACTTGACGAGGAACTGAGGAGGTCGGGTTCGTTGGAGGAGCGCAGACTCAACGTGGGGGTTGTTTCGGATTTCCCGCCGCCCACGGGGCGCGAGGTGATTCTGCGCACGACTGTCCCCCGCCCCGCGCCTTACTCCAAACCGCTGCCCCAGCGCATGTACAGCGTGCTGACAAAGGAGGATTTCCGACTTGCAGGTGCCTTTTCAGCAGATACAACGTTCTTCTGAGGTAACCAGCTGTGTTGTCTTGTGTGTCTTCACACGTAGAATGCTGTTCGTTTTCCTTCGGGGAAGTTCACGTTACAGACTGACTGGTGGTGAGGTGACAGCGTGGTCCTTGTCAGTGACGGAGCGTCCCGAGGACAGAGCTGGATTGGCAGCCAAGAAGGATGCTTGGAGCAGCTCTAACTGGGAGGTCTGGAATGGCTTCACAAGTACTTACAATCCATCTTTAGTGACCTCCTCTCTGTCCAAAGGGAACATGATGGGTTTTTGTGGCTTTTCTGTCGTTTTTGGTTTGGTGTTTGTGGGTTTTTTTGCATTAGCTTGTGTAATAATGGAGATGAACGTGCTGTGTGCAGATACTTCATGCAGAACGTGCTGCTTTACAGTTCTTAATCAGACTTTATCAAGTGACATTAGTCTACTTAAACTGATGTGCAGACATTAAGTAATTTGTATTTATTGCTAATCATAACTATCGAGCCCAGTATTTTCTGGTTAATCACAAAGTTGCAAATACCTCTAAAATACTCTTCATTTTATTAAAAGTATACAGTACATTCTTGTTCATGCTCAGCTCTCCTGGCATTGCAGCAGTTGTCCAGAAGGATCTTGTCTTGGATGCTTGTCTCCAAGAGAAATGACTATATTTGGGGCTGTAGGTGGTTAGATAGCCTGAAAGGGATCACTGATGGTTTTGGAATCTCTGGCTCTTGCACACAGGGAAGGACACAAAGCTGTAAGTGACATGTACAGAGGTGTTTCACTGTAAGAACTTGCTGGTGTGTACAGAGACCATTTGAACATGTTCTGTGTCTTTGATCTGAAACCATTCCATCACCTGCTGTACCCCAACCCCACCAGCTACCCCGCAAACACCAGGACCTGTGTGTAATGATGTTGCTTTACAGTGATCTTCATGTGTTTTAGTAAGAATCAGCAAAAGGTCAATGTCACTTTACAAAATGAAATGTAAAAAAAATCACAGTATTGTCAACATTATTCAATAAATCTGAACTTACTCTTGGCTCTCAGACTTCTTTGGGTACTAGCATTGGTTTTGTCAAAATACTTTTAAAATGGCATCCTTGCATCATTTGCCCCAGGAGCAGCATTGTTGGTGACTGTCCCTCCATCGAGTAGAGAAAGTTCTGTCTCAAATAGTAGGGTCCAGGTATTACCCTAAACCTTCCTTGAGGGGATGGCTGCCAGGAGCGAGGGTGTTTCCCTCAGATGTAAAAATACATTTCTCAGGATAAAGAAAAGTTAATTTTCTTCCCAAGAAAACCTTGTCACAGAATTTAGGGTTTTTGTGTTTCACCTCGGCCAAATTCCTCTGATGAAAGGGATGAGAAAGACCAAGACCAATTTAGCTGTTGTTTAACTGTTAGCTTCTTTAGAAGAAATTGTACCAAGCTAATTACTAAGTACTCTTCAAGCTTCCTCCCTCATACTCTTGGTTTCCTCCTCTCCTTCTCGTGCTGTCTTCATGAAATGTTACAGTAAGTGTGGCCTTTGGGAAAGGCTGTATAAACTTGGCAGACCCTCACTTAGGCATCAGGCTCTTCTGACTTGGTCTTTGGAAGTGCTGAAGCAATGATGATTCCTGTAGTCACTCAGAGAACACAACCAACCTGCTAATGGTTTTTTTTCCAGGCAGTTGCCTAAAGATATTTGTATCTTTGCTGAAAAAGTTGAGTTAGTTTCACCCTGTATAGAAATTGGTGCATTCACAACACTTAGTTTGTCTTAAGTCTTTAACTGAGAAAAAAATTTTCCTCATAAGGATAACCTCGGAAGCTTTTCAGCTTAGTTTAACTAGATGTACTTGAAATTGCAGTTTTATATGTCAGAAAAAGACGTGTTGTGTATAGATGTGCTTTATGAACTTCCTCCTGCCTTATGGCATTCAAGGGAGAGGAGAGAATGAAAAAGCATTAAAAAAAAATCACCAGGAAAAAGAGAAATGTATTTATTTGAAGTAACCATAAAGGAACCCACATCAAACGCAGCAGCATCTCTGTCCTCCTGTTAAAGAGGATGCACCTGTAACATTTGCCAGAAACTACCTGCTGTTTTTGTCATAATAAGAGATCAGAGCCTCTATTTTCTCCAGTAATGTTGGTATGAATTTAAGTAAAGAATTTAAGCTAAGCCAGCTTCCTGCTCTGTAATTTCCCCATCCCATTGAACCCTGTAAGCCAAATGAAAGTTTCAACAGCACTGCCTCGTTCCTGCAGCCGTCACTGGACTGCAATGGGAGAGCAGTAATGCTTCAAAATTGCATTGTTACACACAGAAATTCAGCTTTAAACCACGGGGTCATAAAAATATAACCATGGTCAGGCACCTTGGATGCATTCCCCCAAGGCCCTTTGCCAGGCAGAGGTACAAGTGATTTCTTGGTTTTAATTCCTTATTTTCTTCCTCCTACCAACAGCATGATAGACTGCAACGTGTATTTTTTTTTTACATCAGTGCATGAGGAAAACAGTGTAACTGTACTGGTTTGTGAATTAATTATAACTGCATCTATTTTGCATTTTACATCTTGACAAAAAATTTTGTGATGTCACAGCCATACTTTGTCGCTAAAGAACGTCTCTTCATCTGGCTTCTTTCCTTGGCCTGTTTTGCAGTCCTCTGCCAAAGAGAGAGAGAGAGAGGGGTCTGTTCAGTAAGTATTGGTACTTGGCAACAGCGTGCAGGGTGGAAAGCTTGAGCCCACAGTTAAACTTCAGGCTAATTTTGCAGTAGACAACGTAATAAAATGCAAATGTTTATTAAGGTGACATTTTCATAAATCCTGAGGACACTGTTGCAGCCTAATGGTTTGATGCTGCCTTTCATTGTCACTGTATGGGGTGGAGAGGCTGGGGAGGAGGAACCTAATGACAGTCTTCTACTGGGGAGAGGAGGGGCAGGAGGGGTGGGAGCCAGGCCTGCCCCGGGGGCACTCCTGGGACAGGGGAGGAGATGTCACCCCAAGGGGGGGCAGGTGCTGACCAGGTGTGGGACAGCACAGGGTGGTGCTGAGCAACCCGCTCTTTGACATCAGCCCTGCCTGGCGCCCAAGGTCAGGCTACGTCACCTCTAGGAGTCCCCACACCCAAAATACTTCTGTTTGTGGTACATCCTGCCCCCCTGCAGATCCCACAGCCTGGAACACAGGAGGTTCTGCTTAAACTTCAGAAGGAACTTCTTTACAGTGAGGGTGACAGAGCACTGGGACAGGCTGCCCAGGGAGGGTGTGGAGTCTCCTTCTCTGGAGACATTCAGAACCTGCCTGGACACCTTCCTGTGTGATCTCATTTAGGTTCCTGCTCTGGCAGGGGCATTGGACTGGATGATCTTTCGAGGTCCCTTCCAATCCCTGACATTGTGATTTCCCTGGCAGAGGTGAGGATGTCTGACCATGCCATACTGACCTCTCTGTGGCAGATCGTACACAGAGTCTGAAGGTTTTCCAGGGAGCACTGTCCTCCTCCACTGTAAACAGGCTTGATATGGTCCACCTGCCAGAACTGGCCTTCTGTTGGGTTTGTTATAATTTCATTCAGCTGCAGTAAACAAAGGACATGACACTGGAAGCGTTAAGAGATTCCCTCAGAACTACATGTATGTTCTACCCTGAGAACAAGGAAATAATTCAGGGAATTAGCTATTCATAGTTTTCATCAAGAGAAAGAAAATAAGCGTTAGCATTGCTTTGTAATAAGGAGCACTGAGAAACCCGAGGTGGTGAAGCCCCATGTCAGCTTTCAAAAGGTAACAAACACAACGGAGTTCTGATCATTTGTCAGGCTGTGAGAAACCCTCACACCACAAGACTTCTCCTCTCAGTCTGTGAGATGGGTCTTTAAAATACCACCTCATTTTAAAAAGCTGCAAGTGACAAAGCTGATCTCATGCATATGACAAGTGACAATGAATTATTTTTTCTTTTGCAAGTTTCAATGGGTGGCTGCAGAATTTATTTAACAATTTAGAACCAGCAACTTCTGAGGCAGAATTTCAACTTTGCAGCAGAAAAATGAAATGGCACTTTAGTTTCTGAATAAAAATATCACTCTATGTAGGAACGTTCCCCCTCCCTGCTCCACTGCGTTCAAGGCAGTGCAGCAGCAATCACAGCTGCAGAATGGTGGTAGTTCATAGGGTGTTTTGTGGTGACACTGAGAGGAGCTGTGACAAGAGGCTTTTGTTGAATCATAGACTGCTGTGAGCTGGGAGGGACCCACAAGGATCATGAGTCCAGCTCCTGTCCCTGCACAGGACAATCTCAACATTCAGACCATGTTGTCTGAGGGCACTACCAAACATTCTGCAAAGGAGGAATAACCTAATACTTCTAGACTACATCCATTCTTACATTGTTTCAGAACCATAAATTCTGTTAAATAAAGTGCCTTTCAAGTAAATCTGGCTGCAATATTCCCAGCCCTGAGGAATCTGATTTCAGATGCCTGTGCCTTTCAGCAATGAAAAACGTGTTAGAAGACGTGGGGGGTTTTGTGTTCAGGATTTCCTTTTTTCCTACTCTGTTGTTGGTGCTAGGTGAACCTTCGATCTTCAGCCTGCACGAAGAACATTTTGGATTTCTCTGAACTATCTGCTACAGGAATACACAGGTTAGCTGCTCCTGCTTAAAAATCAGTGCTATTACCTGCCCAAGTGGAAGGTGAGACATCCAAGAAGCCTCCAGAAGTTTCTTACGCTGGCTCTTGGGCGCATCCCTGACGCTGAGATAAAGCTCCTGAGCGTTTTGATTACAGAACTGGCAAACACCGTGTTCGATTTCAAACACTTTAGTCCTAAGGTAGCTCTGACTAGAGCGAATCGAGAAGTCCTCCTGGCAGGTGTGGGAGCAGAACCGCGTGTCCCAAGCGCGGGCCTGGCAGCCTGGGTCAGGCTGAGCTGTTGGCTGTTGACAGCTGAGACACAGCGGGTTCCCTTGGCTGTCCAAGGCTTGCAAATAGCCTTTGGGGAGGGGGGAGCCTTCAGCTTCAGGCTGCTCTGCAGGAAGAACTGATGGGCCTTTCCCATTTTCTGAAAGCACCCTGTTTGCAGAGAACAAAGTACAATTGTTAATAAGGGAGGTATTCAGCAGACAGTTCTGTAGGTTTTTACACACTGTATATTTCCATCAGATTATCTTTTAGGCTCCAAAATACCCATTTCAGCTGAAATAATCCTTAACTTGCTCAAGTTGATACCTGCACAGTGCAATCATTGACAAAATCTGAGAATATAATGGACAGAATTTTTTTTGCACCTATTCTTACATGTCCACTGAAATATTAGCTGAAATAAATAATGCTGTCTTTATAAGGAAATGGAGGCTTCTATCAGGCATGTACATTTATAGATGTAAAATGTTTCAGCCTCCTCTTTAACAGAAGTGAAAAGTCAAAGGAAACATCCTGGTTTCTCTACGTAACTTTCACAGCTCCATAGCAGTTTCCTGCTCTAAACAAGGCTTATCTCCAGGCAGGATACACACTGCTTGTTTCACAAGATTTTTTTAAAAGGGCATTTTCTGTCTAGAATTCCTGCTCTTTTCTCCCTTTTTCTAAATTTTGAGGCAGAATAGAAGAAAATGTGGTGTCCTCAATTTTAATTGACCTCACAAGCAGGCCTGAGCTAACTTTCTTTTTTTCCTTAAGCAAATCATGTAACTGTTTTCTTGTTTCATTTTAATTAGATTCAGTTAATTAGCAGCTGTATCAGCAGAAAACAGATGTAATCTAAACAGATGTAAGAGGAAAACATAGCTCATAGCACTACAGCAAGTTTCTTATCTGAACATTGTACTTCAGCAGCAAGGTAAACACTCATAGCAAATAATTTTGCTACCTTGAAAAAATATCTGTGGAGAAACAGCTTAAACACCTTATTGCATTAATGAACTTACTTTGTGGAATGAGCCCATTGTTCACCAGAAGCATTTTCCTTCTTCAGACAAACCCCACTGTCTTTGGAGATGAGGCGCACGCTGCCCCCGCTGCTGCTGGCCTTGCTCAGGGAAGCTGCTGCGACGTCCTCTTTGGTCACATACCTGAAATTATTCAAAATTCTGTCAGTATGCTACAAAGGGAACAACCTCCCTCAAACAACATTCACTCTTGGCTGCAGCAAGATTGCTACAGCGTATTCTCTTAAGACATTCCTCATTTCCCAGGTGAGAAATTATTATACAGTTTGGGAAAACACACTTCACCATAATACTTCCATAGTACAAAACATATCTTTTTGTAAAAGCAGATTCAGCTCTAATCAGCAAACAGATCAAGTAATTTGGTACATAATCAAATGAAAATGAAAGCAGTTTGACATTGCCCGAGAGTGACATCTGAAAGCCTTTTTTTTTTCAGTTAGGTGAAGTCTCACTGATACTCTGGCTAATACAGGGAGCACTACAAGCTCTGAAGGACTCTTTGCTCTATTAGTTATGTTTGAATTCACTTCTTTATTTTAATGTGAAAACATACAAAGCACTGCTGCTCTCAAATAAACTCTTAAAAATCGCTTCATCATTCACTCTGATCATTCTTCCAAAAACCACTATTCAGACAACTTCTCACCAGTGCACCTCTCTGTACTATACATACACCAAACCCTATATACTCTTAGTATATATACTAAGGTATATATACCTTAGAAGGGCGCTGTAGGTTAGAGTAGATTTTTCTAACACAGCTCACAGTCAGATCTTTTCTACATTTTGTGGAAGGAAACAATCTGGCAACAGCTTAAAAAACACTTACTACCTGCTGGTCCTCCTTATATTACTGGAATTACAGCCTCTATTTACTTACTTGAATTCTTTTACCTACAGCCAAAATAGAGTCACCCTGGAGAATTTAACAGTAGGGACTGAGAGGAATAAAAAGGTTTTAGTTTGCAGAGGCACCTTGGTGAGTTAACCTGTACGCATGAGAAGTTCTGTGGAGAGCAGCGGTAACACTGAAGCTGCAAATGTCTGTCAGGGAAGACAGAGTTACCAGAAAAAGTGCAAGAAAGGTAAATTTAGATTTTAAACAAGGATTAAAGACTATCCCTTTTCAGTGACACCCAGCGAGGAAAACTAGTTCTGTGAGATGTCATCCAGAGAGCAGAATTGCTTAAAGAAAAAGTGAGCACCAGAAAGGGTTGGCTGTGAACTACAAGTAAAGCGTTGTATCATTGACGGCACCTCATGATTTACTTCTCCTTCCAGGTGGAGAAAACAACAAGATTCTTTGACCTTACTTTTCTTTTGAGTCCCTAAGGGTTAGGATTTTTCTTCAAAAAAATCTCTGGCAAGTTCCAGATGTTTAAACATGCCGTGCAGTGAAGCCAGAACAGCTGCTGAATGTGGGAAGCGGACACTTCCATCACAGCAGATTTACTGACGTCCTGGTCGCCTACGTTTGTCACTATGCGACAGGCAATCACTGAACAACTAGTTTAGCCTCAGCATCATTCAATACATCAAACTTCCTGCAGCAATTAGGAAGAGGAAGAAAAATTAGCAGCCACGTACCTTTTTGTGCTGCTGACAACTGACTGCTTTTTAGACAACTCCTCTGCAGCATGAATAGGACTACAAAATATCTGACCACTTTTTCTGACAATCTTCTGTTTCATTGCTGTGAGATGACCCCATTCTTTCACAAACCTCAGTATCTGGTAGAAAACACCATTGTCAGAAGCATGACAGGCATTACACAGAATTATTTAATTACAGTGAAGGAGTGCTAGAAAAAATTCAAAACTGGATGAGAACAGCTGGTAGAATCAGAGATGGTCCCTTCACGTCATAGTCCATACAAGCTGCAACCTCCCACCCTTGACGTGCTGAGACAGCTTTGGCATTGACTACAATAATGGTTTTGCTATTATAAATGTATTGATCCAGAAGAAATAAGGCCAGAAATGGCCTTTAGTAATCTAAGGTAATCTTCTTACAGCTGCCATTCTCCCTGACACAGCAGGCCCCTCAGAAAAGGAAAGCTCTGGCCCATTACTTGAACAACATTTATAATTGGGTTATGGACCACCTTTTTTCTTTCTTCTGACCTTCTGATAGATGCTTAACACTGGATTAACCATCTGTAGTGCTCAGCCCCTAATGTCAACGTGAAAGGCTACAGGTAAAATGCAAGAGCTGTTATCAGTCTGTTTCTCAACAAGTGTTTTCCAACATGTAAAATTTTAATGGAATCGCTGATGTACTTGCTTTGAGGTTACTATATTCCTTTATAATAATGCAGTGTCAGAAAAACACATGCAATAAAAATTATTATGGTAAACCAGCAATTAATGACATGAGAAATCAGATCACCAAATTGCCTTGACATGAACACATCTGTTTTTATGGCAACACCGCTATCCCTTTCTGCGGCATTTCAGCACAGCACACAAAGATCTGACTAGCAAGTAGAGACATGCTTTGCCATCAAAATAGTCAAAGGACAACAGTTTTGAGCAGCTTAACCTGCCTTTCATCACCTTTCACAGTAATTTCAAATTGATGCAACCACAGGATCCTGAGGGAAAACTGACGAAGTGTTGAACAAAGGATTTCAGAATGGAAATGGAGACTATAGAACAACATTGACCACCTTTCCTTATTTTGCATTTAGAATTTCAAAGTATAATAAAATAAAGAGACTCAGAGGAACTTAATTTCTGGTACCTAATCTAGTAGGTTTTTTTACAGGCTAGGAAGTAAAAAAAAAAATTATACCTGTAAACTGAAAGGACTGGTATGAATAATGATTTACTCAATAACTATAACCACAGAACAGTGAGGAAGTGCGAGAAAAACTACATAGGAATTTAGAATTTATAACATGGCTGTTTGCTTTAGGATGTGTGTAGGGGAAAAATTATTCAACCTCATCCTCATTTCTACAATAGAAAATAAATGGGAGTAACAATATGACAACTGAGCAACTGGTTTGGTGGTTTTTTTTCCATTCTGTTTTTTCACTCTCTTCCCTACTGACCTGCAACTATCTACGGCAGTCAGTGTCACGCTGCTTCTGAACAGGGACTATGGGAAGAATAAATGTATTGGTTGGTTGAATCAGTCGGGCACTTGTCCTACAAATCTAAGTTCAAACCTTGCTGGAGAACCTACCAAAAAGAATCAGTTTCATTCATACACAATAGAATCTGATTTCCAAATTACATTTCTCTTTAAATGGAGTTAAAAACAGTTAAGAAAACTATGTTAAGCAGATAATATTGCACATCCAATTTAAATTCTGTATTTCCTTACTCAAGTACTTGGGTTTACAGTGTTAATGTTCTCCTCAAACACCATGATGGATGTGATCTTTGTTACTGAAGTAACAGAAGCTGCCTGTCTCAGTGGAGCTGGGCCCCACACGGCTTTGAACGTCGTTAGAGGCCTGAAGGCAGAAGGGAGAGCGGAGGCCTGCTCAGAACTGCAGCTCTGATACGATCTAGCACATTCTTATCTGTAATGTGCCCTGTTTAATTCATAACCTTTAAAAAGCTATTTTGTTGACTTACAAATGTTAGTTACTAATCCTGTAAATGAGAAATTAAATGATGCCTGGTTGATTCCAGCTAGTGAAATGTTAACAGGAGGAATGATAATTTGCCAAAGTAACAGACTGCATAATTAATATTCATATCAACATTTATAAGGTCTGCTTGCATTAATGAAAATGTGCCTAGATCCCAAGGCCTGGAAGTGTTCTGCATTTATTTTAAAAAGTATTAAATATTATATTAATGTGCCAGTAGAATTTGTTCTTACCAATGAACGATTCTGTTTATGCTGGAAAGTCTCTGGTAAATCCTCCCAGTTATCCAGCTGTATGTCTAACGGAATGAAATTATGATTCAGTGGTTCACCATCCTAGACAAGCAAACAATTTTGTTTACAGATGTAATGTAGCACAATCTAGGAAAAATCTGTTTCAAGTGAATTATCCTCCCTTCTTAATAAATTCAGTCTCTCAAGGTAAGATTTTTCCAGAAACAAAGGATAAGCCACAGATGTATGATAACAGCACAGATGCAAGAAATGATTGACATTAATATATCTAAAAGTAAACAGGGTGAAAATTTTAGCTTTGAATATATCTGAATTTTTTTCTTTGCAAATAGTTCAGACACACAAACTGCCTTAAATTAAGGAACTAAAACTATAATCCTCTTTACTAAATTTCCAAGGGAAATGAATGATTGTAGACTGGAAAATGTCTCTTCATTATAATTTTAAATCAAAATCTTAGACATGGCATTGTTTATTACACTTAACTGGTTCTTTTTTTAAAAAATGTCTGAACAAGTTCTCCTCCACTTAATTTTTGAGGAACCAGTTGTCCCAGTAGGTACATATGACCCAGGAAATTATTGATGATTCACAAACATTCAAGAGAAGAAATCAAAGCAGAATTCCCCAGTGTCTCATGGTTTTTTTTCAGCAGAAAGATTTTGTGCAGTATCTGGCACAAAGAAACTCTAATCCAAGCCAAAAACAACCCAGACCAATACACAGTTGCCCAAATACAATCCCAAATCTGTCTTTGTCTCTGAATAAAATGTGTGAAGCTAGGAAGCAGCGTACAATTTAAATATGTTAAACAAGTTTCCAGATACAAGAGGACATTCTTTTTGACTTCTTCCCAGCTGTGTCAGTTAGTCTAACAAAACTGTATTATCTCAAATAACTTTTCTATCTCTTAAAAGAAGGAATTGTGAAGCCCTGACTCCCCCTTGAAAATTACCTGGAATGTTACCAACTGCTAGTTTCTGTACTCCCATTACCATTGCAGTTTAATGATAATGTGTTTCATTCAGGAAGTTACAGACTTACACACGGCACCAATGTTGAGCTTTCTGAAAACGTGGTGACAACATTTTATTTACACATTTTGTCAGGATTCACTGTCATTTTTATTTTAATTTTGAATGTTGTTCTATTAATAACATTTTCTGGTAAGATACTATAATTAAAAAAAGGAATCCTAAACAACTATCACCTGCATTTCTAACAGATTAAGTGTACACGTAATGTATTAGCCCCATTCTGTAAGCTAAGAGAACTGTTAGAAGTTATGTATCTAGGGAATTATTATTTAATTCCACTGAGAAAAAGAACTAGAATGATAAAATACCTATTTTTTGTACATTTCAGCTAATAAAAAAAAATTGCAGGTCTTTTTATAAGAAGTTTAATAAATGAAAGTATTCATACACATTTCATAGGACAACATTTTACTCTGTAATTTTAAATTATAACAAACATGCATATTTCAGGTTTACCTTTGTATAGAGGTGAATTCTATCAGTATTCCTGCTTGCACAAAACATAAGCCCATCATATATTGGAAATGTGTCTGATTTATCTACATCTCCTATAAAAAGAAAAAAAGTTGACATTAAAAAGTTTGGGTTTTTTTTCATTCATTTCATTCAGTCTACTCAAACATTAAAAACAACATTACACATGTTTCTAAGAAGTTATTTGTGAAATTTCCCAATTTGGAAATATATCACATGTGGATTCTGTATCCAGTTCCAGAACAACATTATCAAATACACAGCTCAAGCAGCAAGCTATTAAGGTATTTGAGTATTTTCTTTTTCTGTTTCTCCTGAATTACCTCTCATCTGTTTTGCCTGTGGCTGTCCTGACCACAAGTAAATACCATCAGAAGTTTCAATAAAACCACACAGGTTCACAGTTGCTAGTTTGACATAATTATTACATCAGCCAAAAACTGTTGTATGGAAAAGCTGGGTTTATCCATCATCAAAATTCAATAAACATCCCAGGCTAAAATGAGAATGTCATGTGCTAGTGTATGTACTTCTGTCTATCTTTCAAAAGTGTTTTTTTCTATTTAAAATTATTTTTCCTGCCAAAGGCATTTAATACAGTTTTGTAATGCAATGTAATCTTTCTTTCATCTAAGTCCCACTTTACCTTCTCCACACTTTTTTTCACTCTCTTCATTTTCAATTTCAACAGTTTGCTGTTTGCTGATTTCAACAGACTGCTGGGTCACTGTTTCTCCAAAATCTTCTCTTCCATCTTCAGCATTGCATACTGCTTTCTCTTCGGTTCTTCTGAAGTCCTTTGACACATCTTCCTCAGTCTGGCTAGCAGGGGCTTCACAATTTCTCTCAACTATAGACAAAGAAACAAGAAAAGCAATTATTTATGCTACCTGTACAAACAGGAACCTAATCAATACACATCTGGAGGCAGGACTATGTAATTGAATTTAAAAAAATGGCATTTTATTCTCTAATGTTATTACAGTGCAACCACTTAGGATACTGGAGCTACCTTTAATATTAGGAGAATAAACACATGGAGAAAAGTTTTCCATTTGTGCAATTTCATGCACCCAGCTTAATATCAAAATATATGCAATAATGTCATCAGCAATTCTATATAATATACAGTTATTGTATACCATAAACACATACAGTAGTTTTCCAGGCATTGATCTATACCTGTGAAATTCAGAAGTTGTACTTACTTGAACAGGCACAGGGACTTAAATAAAATAAATGATAGAAAAATAACCTCTTCCTTTGCAACTGAAATGGCAAATAAGGGGACAGATTTACAAAATTGTTTTGTTTTGTTTGTTTTATTTGTTTTATTTTAAGTTTCCAGGTAGACTAAATAAATTTAATAAAAGACATCTACTCTGACCTGTTGGAGCAAGAAATGCCGTATTTTCCAGGTAATGTCTCTTAAGACAAACATACAATACCTGAGTTAATAAAACATCTATACCACATCATTTAGTTTTGAGAGGTAGGAAAAAAGTTTGCCATTTAACTGGATTCACAATATAAACCTCAAGGAAAAGGAGAACATTTGCTGCAAAGAAAACTGAGCATAAATTAATTCTTCACAGAATTTATATCCTGTTAATATTTATCTCACTTTTCCATTTGTTTCAAATTAGAATCATGTAAAAGTTCCTTGGGGAAAGCAAAATTAAGAAGGAGCATTTAACGGGTAAAGACACCATTCTTTGTGTTTTGTCTGGACTTGGGTATATATATTGTGTATATTCTGAAACTAATCACAACCGAAATGAAGAATGTGTTATATTTTTTTCTCTGCAGCACACGTTACTTACCACTATTGCTTTGAGGGCAACTGCACATTTCACAGTAAGGGAGCAATTCATTGTTACCATAAGTGCAAACACTACAGTGCCAAACTTTATTTAAAGCCATACTTTTGCTTGAAGCACTTAAGCCACAAGGAAGGACTTCATTGTTTCTCTCTGAAGACAAAGAGGGCTTTTTTCCACTCAAAGACTTTTTCATTTTCTTCCTGGAGCTGACTGGAGTAGATTCACTTGTGCTTCTTGCTCTTTTAGCTTCACGTTCACAGGAACTTTCACCACAAATTGTATCCACATCACTTATTCTTGTGCAATCCATGTCTTCGTTGCTCTGCTCTGCATCCTCTTCTTTCGCGACTTCAGGAGATTCTGAATCATTATGTAACGACTCATCACTAGAAAATATTTTGCGTTTCTTCTCAGTGGAGGGTTTTGGGGAAAAGAAAGAACGTATGTCATGCTGTCTTTCCTTTTCAAACTAGGAAAGAGGAAAGAAATATGTAAACCCCACTTATAGTTACTGCATCAGAGGCTGTTAAAATAATGATTTTTCTCCATTAATATTACTCTTTAATTCAAGAAGCTATTTTCACTTTGGAGATGGAAAAAAAAAGATATCATAGAATCACAGAATGGTTTGGACTGGAAAGGACCTTAAAGATCATCTAGTCCCAAACCCCCCTGCCATCAGCAGGGAGATCTTCCACTAGATCAGGTTGCTCAAAGCCTCATCCAGCCTGGCCTTGTTCTTAATCTTCTTTTAAGAACAAACAGCCAGCAGAAAAAGCAATCCAACATTCCCATTCTGTTTTGTAAAAAGTATTTTCAGTTTTCTCAGGAAAATTCTGAAATAGCACTACCAGAAAACAAATAGAACTAGTACACTACGTGCCTTTTTTGATGATGTCTATGGCAAGGAAAGGCTTTTAAATGTTGTTTTATAAATAATAGCCAATAAATTCAGTACAGTTAATAAAGATGTAATTTAAACAGAAATTAATTGGTCTTATCTGACTCTGAGGGTGGGTCAGTCACATAAATGTAATGTAAGGAACCATCAAAAGCCTGTAGATAATATTTATACCCAGCAGAGCCCTTTCCCCAACTTCACCTAACTTCTAAAGCAGAATTTACATTACATTTTCCTACTTATTTAGTGTTTCTCCATTAGTAAAGTCTGTAATACACATAAAGCTTAAGTGAACAACGGTTGTAATTTTTTTTTAAATGAAAGAAGAAAGAAAAACATAAGTTTTGAGTCTTACATGTGTAAATAAAAGCTCATTTTTGGGATCTTCTAGACTTTCATTTGGGGTCCAGGTCTCAGCAAAACTCAAAAAATCCCATTTCTCCTTATCACCTTCTTCAGCCTGCATTTTCTCTTTCTTGCCGTTCAAGGTGCTGCCTGTAACCTTGGCCTGCAGAAAGAAGACTTGCATAAAGTTTCCAAGGAATTCACGTGTTGGAACAAGTTTATTTTCCTATATTAGGAATTTGCTTCCCTTGCAAACTTAAGTCAGCATTTCATAGAATGAATCATAGAATGGTTTGGGTTGGAAGGGACCTTCAGAGGTCATCTATTCCAATGCCCCTGCACTGAGCAGGGATGTCTTTACTAGAGCAGGTTGCTCAGAGCCCCATCAAGCCTGACCTTGAATATCTCCAGGGATGGGGCCTCCACTACCTCTCTGGGCAACCTGGTCCAATGATCTACCACCCTCATATTGAAAAACTTCTCCAAATATCCAACCTAAATCTCCCCTTTTCTAGTTTAAAACTATTACCCCTTGTCCTATTGCTACATGCCCTTGTGAACAGTCCTTCCCCAGCTTTCTATCGGCACCTTCAGGTACTGGAAGGCCGCTATCTATAACATCCCCCTGGAGCCTTCTCTTTTCCAGGCTGAACAACCCCAACTCTCTCAGCCTGTCCTCACAGCAGAGCTGCTCCAGCCTTCAGATCATTTTTGTGGCCTCCTGTGGACATGCTCCAACAGGTACATGTCCTTCT